TATGTATATATATATATATATATATATATATCTCCTCATCATTGTAACTTCTTCTAGTTTCCCCAATAATGGGCTAAAATATCTATAAACAATAATATTGCATGTATACTTAAAAAATACAAATGCTCTTTTATTTTGGATGCAGAAATGTAAATATATTAGTTCCCTCTTGCTGCTATAAAAAATTATCAAACACTTTACAGCTTAAGAAACACAAATTCATTATCATACAGTTCTGTAGTTCAGAAGTTCAGCATGGGTCTCACTAGGTTAAAGATAAGATGTTGAAAGGTTGGTTTTTTTTGAAACTCTAGAAGAAACTCCATTTCCCTGTTTTTTTCCACTCTCTAGAAGTCCCTTTCTTTCCTCCATCTTCAAAACCTTTAATGTTACTTCTGCCTATAGTCACATTTTTTGCTTCCTCTCTTCTGCTTTCCTCTTCCATTTTTAAGAACCATTAAGACTGTGCCTGAATTTTCTGGCTAAACCAGGGTAATCTCTCTATTTTAAGGTCTATTTATTAGTTTTATCTGTATCTTATCTGACGTGCAGTTGGTACTTAGTTCACTTTTATCAACCCACCATAATCACAGGTTCTGAGGTTTAGGGTAAGGGCATCTTTCGGAGGAATCTGATTCTACCTACCACACAGTTTCATAGTCTGTAAACTACATTTGTCTAATTCACTACCCTTAATTAATTTTAATATGATATATATATTAGTAATAAAATATACATTCAGATCTAATTTTCTGTTAATTTCTCTATGCTTCTTAGTTTTTTTCACATTGAGGCTATATTATGATAGAAACACCTATTATCTGTTTTCATGTATATGCTGTTTGCGGATTATTTTGATTATTTGATTATTTGGAGTGCGACACTCCTTTTGACCTCTTTCTCTTGCTTTTTACTTTCGTCTTATGCTCATCCTTCCACTTACCTATTTTCCTAGACGCTCTGTTCTATACCAAAAGTCAAAGTAGAGACTCAGGATCCTGAACCAATCATGATTTTATGAACATTAAAGAGCTCATTTCTAAGACAAAAGGGAATCAAAGGCACGAAAAAAAAAAAAGAAGTAAAACATTTAAGAAAAACAAAACGGAAAATGATTTGTTGAAGATAATGGGTATGACAGTATCTTTGATTGGGTGAATATTCATTGTATTCTGGGTGGGAAAACTCATTTTGTATGCTGTAATGATATACAGTGAATGAATCTAAAA